CTGTTTCGTAGACACCTGTCATATAACACTCTGACAGCTGTTTTTTAGAAATACTGTTAGATTATGCAGCAAATGAGTATTTACAGCTTTATTAGTCTGTTTTGTAGACACCTGTCATATAACACCAAAGTTTTATTCATAAACTGTGAAGATTGAAATAGCTGTATGCACCAAGAATAAAATGTTTTTTTAAGCAATTATTAATAATTACTGAATACTTTATAAGACATCCATATTTAGGCATTAAATGTGTTAACATTCTTTAGATGATTGAGGATCATAAGTAAATACCTTTTGTTTTTCAAATGAAATCGAGAAATTACTCATTTTTGCTGTAATATTACAGGATTTCTGAACATCAGTGTTACTGTTATATTTTTAAAATGTGACCAGGTAGTTAATTTCATTTAAATAGCACATTCTTTTATTGAAATACTTATGAATTATCTTTCAAATTTATAGCTTTCTTGATGTTCTTACTCAATATTATATACTGATATATTAGATCGCAAATTCTCACAAAAGCAAATATAATGAAAAACAAGTAATGACATACTTCCCTTCATTAAACTTAATTAAATGTCTGTAATCAAAGTTTTGTAATTTACATATTATTGATTAGGCCTAGAAAAATTTTTGATGAATAATTCACTGCAAGTATCATAATTTGTAATTTTCCACCTTAATGTTGTAGGTAGGTGTACATTGTCATGCAGGACTTGGTCGCACTGGTGTCTTGATAGGATGTTTCCTTATTTACAGCCTTCGATGTAAGCCTAATGACACTATCCGCTATATACGTTCTAAAAGGTCAGTAGTTTTTTAATAACTGCTGTTTTAAAGAGATAGATGGTTGAGCATTTTGTTTGTATGTGTATTTAATGATCGTTTTTTTTATCATTTTTTGTTCTTATAGACCCCATTCAATTCAAACAAGGAGCCAAATCACATGTGTTCAACAATTTGCTCAGTTTATAATTCCTCTCTTCACTGTTTTCTCCAATGTGTAAGTACTGTAGTATCTTAGGTTTTGTGCCATTAAATTACTATGATCTTTTTTTTCAAAATGTGTATAAACTATGGCAGATTTTTATTAACTTTTGTGTTTTCTAAAATGTGTAATTATTCATCAAGATTAAAAAATGTATGTCCTCTATAAAATAAATATTCTTGAATCATAACTTGTATTTTATAATAGAATATTACTGTAGATTCATAATTTTACTGTGTTAAAAAATTTGTTCTCCAGCTTATTCATTACAATATTTGAATTGACAACATTTAACTTTAAATTTTAAGTGAAAATTTGACTTCGAGACAAGAACTCCAACCCAGGAGATTTGGCTAACATAGTACTGGCCCTGTTAACCATAGGTCTTGCTTTCAAGTCTCATAGTTAGTCTTTCACTTAAAATTTTTTTTTCACATATATTACTGTAAGTTTATAAATTTATGTTTTTGAATATAATAGCATTGTTTCATTTGGAGTTCTTGTAATAACATATAAAATAATGAATCAAATATTTTTCACATTTTTTAAATGATAAATATTGTCTAGAACTCTGCTATTACTATTTTTTCTAGTCACAATTAATTTTCAGAAGTCCAAGTAAAATGAGTACTTTCAAATTTTGCAGAAATTGAAGTACTATAAGTACTACCATATGTTCTTATATTTTAGTATAGTTTGTATATGTTTTTGTATTGCTCATGGATACAACTACTTATCTTACTGTTTTTGTATCAAATCCATGGGTCCCCCCCCTAGCCTTTTGGGGGTTCCCACAATAGTTAAACACACTGGTTAAGAACTTCCATGTAATTTTACTCCACAGGCCCTATGAAATCTAGTTGCACCACTCATATTACTCCTTGGTGTAGAGCAATATAGTTGGAGATTGGTCATTTATTTTCATTTGAACGTGTACTATGCTGTGAGTTAAAGCAGCGGTGTAACATCATGTTGGACATTTACATTATTGAACAGTTCTGTTAGATAGATACATATTTAAAGAAAGAATTTTTCCCAACAGAATTCACAAAAGTCCAGGCTTCACTCTCAATCAGTACCTTAACCGACAGAAGAAACTCCTACATGGATATGAAGCTCGGCATTTAAAATACATCCCAAAGGTAAGTTATCCGTTTGTGCAGTTTTGGGTAAGTGTGTAAATTCTGTATTATAGTTAGTTTTTAAATGGAATAATAATGAAATTTTTAACACAGGAATACCTTGTATTATCTTGGTTAAGTACAATGTAATTTTCTTCAAAAATCACATACCAGTGCATTCTTTAATTGATTTTAGATTTCTTTCATAGGCCTGTGCACTTGGTAACATTTTACAATATATAATTTTTCTGAAATGTCTTTTTAGAGAATACATTTTAAAAAGTAGCATTCTTTTCTGTAGGTCAAATTAGTGTAACTTTTTTTATAACTGTAAAGTTCATAATTGTATATACACTGAGTGGTCACAAGTAAATAGACACCTAATT